CAACACACACACACACACACACACACACACACACACACACACACACACCCCTAAGCGGTTACAGAGCCACGGCTAGGGCTCCCTGGGTGAAAACCCACGTGGAGAGCTCTGCTGACTAAGAGCATTGCTTCCATGGAGGAATGCGACCCTGATCCTCAAGGCCAAACACGGAGGAAGAGGACAGTGCCAACGCCGCCTTACTCCTCTAGCTTGTCACCTACCGGAGAATACGGTGCATATGGCCCTCGTGGTATCCTGCGGACCGCATTTCATTCATCCTACCCCTGACAAGATGGCAAACCCAATTAGAGCCAGAGGGCAAGCCAGCCAGTTGAGGGAGGCCAAGCCAGGCGCAGAGCGAGCCTAAGAGTGGAAAGCAAATTGGTAGGGGGCCATGTAGAATACCCAGCACACCTGCTTTTATTTTTCTAAATCAAATTATATTCTGCTTTCTGTCTCCAACCCCCTGGTTGGGGAGAAATTCAATTGCTGTCAATATCTGGCTTCCATTTACCTCCTCCATAGAGTACTAGAAAAATCCTAGTAGTTTGTGACAGAAATATTGGGAAAGGACCCAGCTCTTAGAGGTTCTTACCATTTATAACTTTGCCCTTGGGCTCCTAAGTATTCTCCTACTGTAGGTATTTAAACACAGCCACCCAAGCTGGGGGTGCAGCCCAGAGCAGTCCCACCCTGAGACAGACTCTTCCAATGCATAGAGCCTGCTGGGTGTCACCTGGGCCATGTGCTCAGCCCCAGTGGTCACTCTAACTGTGCCCATCTGTCAGGCCAGCCCTTGTCCCCTTTTCCACTGAAGAACTCACAGTTAGTCCTGGGCAGATCCAAATCGTCAAAGTTCTAGTCCTTTCCAGCCTAAAAGGATTGGGAGCTTTAGGGATGTGCTAGTAATGTTACAGGTCAGGAAGGGGGAACACGGCACAACCACCATGTTATTACTTAGGAACTCGTCCTGTTCCTAAATGATAGCAGCTGTTGTAATGATAGACGGCGGCGAAGAAAGCTGGGAAGAGAAAGGATGTAATCCTCACACAGACCAGGAGAGAACAGGCCACAGGCAGCTGAACGATGTGAGGAAGTCAAAGTGCCTGGCTTGGCAGACACCCTTGCTAATTTTGCGGGAGACCTTCCAAGTTTCCTTGGTACCTGCCTTGTCACCTCTGCTAATGATGATAAACTGTTGCCTCAGGATTCACAGCCAGCCTTCCACTCTGCATCCGAGTTTATTGCTATTACCTTTGAACAACAGATAGCAATTAAGAAAGATGAACAGGTAGTATAACGTAAAAATGCACAGTTGTTAGTTTGATCCTGCCTGACATTACATCTAATTAACTGGGTCTGTAGCGACAGATTGCCAGGAAATTATGTGTGCAAACAAAGCCATTGATAGTTTAAAAGAATTTAAGAAAAACTTTTCCACTTTGACCTCAGACTGTAGTGGTCTCTTCAACGCTTCCCATCATAGATCAGCCCAGTGAAAGTGGGAACCTAGGGTGGGCAGTGCCAGGTAATCACAGAAGGACCCTGTTGCAGCCAGGATGTGGCACCGATGTGTGGGGACAGGCAGGAAGAAGCTCCCCAGCTGTTTTTGCCTTCCACATGCTTGTTTCTATCTCTCTGCTTGCCATTGGCTGAGTCCAATGACCAGCCAAAGGAAATGTAGTCCTCTTAAAATAGCTTTGCATGGGATACAGAGGAGCGGAGGAGAAGTTTGGGGCTGGGGAGCAGAAGGAAGCTATTGTAGTTATTTTTATCTCCACTATTTTAGACCATTTTGAGAAGTGAGGCTGAAAGCAAGTAGAAAGAGGTGTCCTTCCCTGAGCAGAGTCCACAGAAGTCATGGCCACATTCAATAATTTTCTAGGAAATCCACTGACCTGGCTTTAAGACTATGTTGTAAAGAATTATGAGGCAAACGTATTGCAGGAGAAATGTAAAGCTGACCATCAGGCTCATGAAAAAGTATTAAAGGCACATGTTTATGGTTTTATTCCTTAAGCTTTAACAGGGTAGGTACTAGGTATCGATTTGTAGAGAATATTGTGAAACAGTCACAAAAAGCAAAGCTAGAAAATGGTCCTTCTGTCGACCCTCTTTTCCAAATACTTAGGATCTGATGATAGACCACGAGATTCTTTAACAGGAGCAAAGATATTAGTCCCTCAGTTACTAGAGCAGAGTTAGCAAAGAGTTCTCAGCTGTCAGCCCCCTCCAAAGATAGCCATAGCTGAAGAGAATCAATAACCAAGTCCTGGCCCTAGAATGGCCCTAGAATGGTTAGTCCAGTGACTAACATAAGCCTGTAAAATACCAGCCTTCTCACACCACAGGGACATTTGTGAATCATCGTGCCAGGTTCAGAATGCCTTTGTGGAGTGGCAGCTCCTGCCTACATCACAGCCCAACTTCTCCGTCTGTCCAATCTCTCCTCACAACTCTCTCACTCTCTCTTTCTCTCCCCCCACCCACTTTCTTTCTATCCACAAGGTGATCCCAAGAACACACTCTCATAAATACTTTCTATGTTGGTTACTTTTCTCTCATTGCTGAGACAAAATACCCAGCACCCACAATGAAGGAAAGTTTTATTTAGCTCACAGTGTGTGGAGGTCTCCACCCATAATCGGCTGGCTCCAAGGCAGGGTGATGTGACAGAGGAGCAACAGCTCACCGTGGTAGAAAACAGCAGAAGCAACAAGAGCTAAAAGGGGGAAGAGTGCAGAGAAGACTTTCTGTCCCCCATCCTGTATGTAGACCACACCCACCCCTCATCCCAGCCTTGGAACATGAGTTAATCACAAATTCTGGAAGCCCACCCCCATGACTGTGGGAGGCTTGAGAGAGAGACATCCCTACTCAAACCACACCAGCAGCTATCCTAAGCTCCATCTCCGAGTCTGTTTTCCTTGGATCCAGCCAGAATGAGAAGAGCTCCGCACATGATCGCACCCCTTATTATAAAACAAAACAAAAATATTGTTTTCCTTTTATTGTTTCACTATATTTTGTGCATGTTATTTTCCTTTCCCAGAGTTTTAGTTTTACGCTTGAAATGTACTTGAGAAAATGCATGGAGCTGTATCCTTTATGACACACTCAGTGCACTACCGGAAAACCAGGTGAGCACGCGAAAAGGAGAACCAAGAACAGGCTTAAAGAGAGATCAAAGTATTGCAGGATGAGTTTCAAAGAGAAACTCGTATCTACACATCCAATGAAAACATGATTAAAATGGGAGGTAGATGCCCGGCCCTTGGGCTTCTGGAACCGGAAGTCCACACTTGTTAGGATTTCAGAATCCCTTTTTCCCAGTGACAGCCATGGGTATGAATCCTATCCAACCTTCTGAACTCTCAAAAAATGTCAAGACAAAAAAAAAAAAAAAAAAAAAAAAACAATTCGAGATAATCTTTAGTGACTGAAAGAAAAAGTGAGCCCTGCAAAATAATGAAATCATTACGTCCTATGACAAGGGATAGCAACTAACTTACACAGACCTTGTGCAAGGCAGTGTGCTCAGTGCTTTAGGGATATTTCATTTAAGGAGAGAAAAATAGGAGTTGTGGAATGCTGCAAAACATGAATTGAGTTACGTCCGTTAGGACATGATGGTGGACATCAGGACACAATCAAACGTGAGCTATGACGGCCTGAATACAGTGAATTCAGCTTGTAATTCAGAATTACATTTCCAAGTTTTCCTCTTGTAGATCTCAAGTGAGGGTGGGGTCACAAGGGAGATTCTTTTGAGATTGGGAGAAAAGGAGTGAACCATCAGTCATTCGGTCACTTACGTACATTGTTGTTGACCTGTTACTCATTTTGTTGGCACGAAAGAGTGGTTGAGAGTCTTCCCTGGATCCTTCAAGCTTGTAATGTTCACACCACAGGGAGATGAAGCACAGATGCCTACCATTTTGTTCAGATATTAAGACCGCTGGCACACACATGTACCAAAAGAAAAAGTGTGAAATTACTCAGATTTTCTAGAGAGAGCAAGGCAGGCTCCCAGGCATTTGGGGACAGAGACTGGCTAGCATGGTTCACAGGTGGGGGTTAGGGTGGCAGCACCCACGTGGGCTGAGGCAGCTGTGCTTTCTGCCTCCTGCTAGACTCAGAGGAGGGGCACCCAGGCTGGCCTGTTTTCTTTTTTCTTTCTTTCTTTTCTTTCTTTCTTTTTTTCTTTCTTTCTTTCTTTCTTTCTTTCTTTCTTTCTTTCTTTCTTTCTTTCTTTCTTTCTTTCTTTCCCTCCTCCCCCCTCCTCCTCCTTCTTCTTCTGTTTGCTGTTTTGTCTTCTACTGGACATTGAAGCCCAGGCCTTTGTGCTCAGCTATAATTCCAGCCCCCTTTTCATTTTTTATTTGAAACAGGGTCTCACTAAATTACTAAGTTGCCTGGTGGAATGGCTCCTCTCTAGATATCCCCAAAACCTGGTGCAGGCATAGGCAGGGCTTTCAGAGGATGATGGGGTCAGAGGACGATGGGGTCATAGGTACTATCCTCATCAGGGGCTGGATGTCCTGCGAGAAGGCTGGGCTCTGGGCACACGGCCTCTCCCCCTCCCTTGTTCTGCCCTCTTCTGCTTCCCCGGTGCCAGGAGGGGAGCAGTTTCCCCCACCACGCCCCCCATCACACTTTTCTTCCCTGGAACCAAATAACCATGGACAGAACCTGAGCCAAAATAAAGCCCTCCATCTTCTTCAGGTCCCTGGTATATCATCCCAGCTGGGAGGACAGCAACTGACACCCAGGCTGAGCTTGAAGCTGTGATCCTCTTGCCTCAGCCACCCACAGTGCTGGGGTTACAAGTGTGAGCCCCCATGTCAGCTTCCAAGCTTTCCTATCAGCCTGCTTGGATGTGGGGCAGAGCAGAAAGGAGGAATCACAGGGCTTGAACAAATTGGACAAACAATTTAAAGAAGTCATCTCTTTATTTCAAGCTCCATGACTCTTGTTCTAGACATATGTTTAGCCCCAAAACCAAGAGTCTGGGGATTCATAGAGTGCTCTCAGGACCAAGTTCAGAGCCCAACATGGGTTTCATTTCTTTTCCTGGGCTCCTGTTCACACTTTGGGGTTACAGCCTGAAATTCTGTCTTCAATTTTACATATGTCTTCCCTTCATAGATACACACCCTGTGGCTTCAAACTCCAGGAGCAAATGTAGAGACAGCGGCCTTCCCAAAGCTTCTTACTCGTTGTGTGTGGCCTAATCCTCATAAAACATACACGCACGTGTTTGTGGGCTGATTATTGGTTCCGATTTTTGGATTACACTCTGACTAGCCCAGGAATACAAAAGATTTCTTGTTGGGAAAATCATAAAATCATCTGTCTTTTTCTGTTCGCTCTTCAGGAGGGCGTGGGTGTCAGGGCTAAGAAACCCGAGGTGTTTGGATTTTCTCTGGTAGCATGGATGGTATTCCCCAAAGGAGGCATCAGCAGGATTTAGGTCAGTAGGAGAAACGTCACCCAAGTCATCAAAAATGGACAGAGCAGCTTCCGGCTGGAAAACAGGTTCTGCTTCCGGCATACGATGCGATGGCAGAAGGGGAGAGAAAATTGCCTCCAGTGGGAAATGATTCACCAGAAACTTGAACTCTAAGGCAGGACTAGGCTCCCAAGGCACAGAGCCAGCCAGGGCTGAGGGTGACAGCGAGTTCACTAAAGAGGTGACCTGCTCGGGGGTGAGGACAGAGGGAGGAGACAGAGAAGACTTGGGCTGAGAGGCTGGAATCACATGTCCTGGAGGACCTGCTGAGAGGACAGGGTTCTGAGTAAAGGACGACACTGTCACAGAGTGGACGGATGACAAAGGAGACTTGGAACAAGTGGCATCTTCCAGGGAGACCTGAGAGAGCAGATGACTGACCTCGGTGGTCATGGTGTTACACACCTCACAGAGTGGGTCTGGACACAGCAGTTGTCGAAAGCGGGTGGTGTCATGGTGGCTGCAGGACACAGAAAGTACCAAGTTGTGTAGCCAGGACCGAGCCAAGGAAAGGAGGACACTGTCCTAGGAGGCCTAGCTGGCCTCACACCTCTGACCCCTTACAGCTCAAGCCCCACAGTTGTGACTTCACAAAACACACCTGGTTGCTCCCCAGCACCATCACTGACACGCCTGTCACTATGGCTACCCAAGCCTTTGCTCACACAGGCTGCACTGGATTCCTGAGATGCATAGAACATTCAGGAAAAGGGACCAGGGAAAAAGGAAAATGGCTAATCACCTTTTCAGAATCAGTAACAGCTTCTTCCACTCTTCTCTCTGGCTGGGCCTCCAACCTGGAAAATCAGGACAGCCAGTGACATGTAATGAAGGTACACACAGCAGTCCACTAACGAGTCCCTTCGGGATAAACACTTAGGATGCTCCGGTTTCAAAGCCCTAAGAATCAGTGGGCAGATGAAGTGGGCACGGATGATATAAGAACATTCCTCTTTTTTGTGTGTCTGTGTGTGTGTGTGTGTGTGTGTGTGTGTGTGTTTTCATTTACAAATTATTTTCACACATATCATCACATGTGATGCCAGAAGCCACTACCAAAGCCAAAGTCATGGGTAGGGGCTGATACAGCTGAGCACCTAGCTATAAAGTATTTTACACAAGGTTGGGAGATAGAATAGCTGACTTTGAAGCAATCAAGAATCCTCCCCCTCTGCCGGACATCTCACATGGCCCCATTTTGGGCACTGCCTACACCTCAACTCCACTGCTATTTCATGACCACCATGGGCAGAGCAGGAGCTCAGAGGAGGATCTCAGGTCTCACTGCCTTCCCACGGGCCCCCTTCTGAGGGCCCTGAGTTCAGAAAGAGACTGTGTCTAGCACCTAGCATTCTCAGAGTTCACGGACCTGGGACCTCATGAAAGGGACAAGAGGGAGTCCCCTCGGAGATCTGGGGTTCCATGAAGTGAATGTACCTTTGTATTTTCCAGCTCTTCCCATCTCCTTGTTTCCATCCTGATGCTGAGAACAAGAACATTTAGGGTTGCGGGTCATTTTCCTCTCTCACAGTTTCAGGCATTCATCATCTAAGAGTGACATGATCCTCCCCCTCAAGTAGTAGAAATTCATTCCTTTCACCAATTTTGAAAGACAATCATGTAGTTTCCATTTCTGTTCCTTTGAAAATCTCAAAGGAAAGTTTAGTGTGTGAGATCCACACTGAACTTTCGCAGAAGTCCCGTGTTTGGGGAGCTCACAGAATCTGAGAGTGACAGTCTCACACAACCTGGATCCTGGGGAGAGAGTACAGACTCCAGGCTGTGCTCAGGACCCCCCAAACAGCCCAGCAGGGAGGAAGGCTGAGGGAAGGAGCCCCTGCAGCAGGAACAAGACCCAAACCCAAGTGTTGGTAGAAACCAGTCTCCTGCAGAGAACGCACTATCTGTAGCTGAACCATCAGGGCTAGGACCTCTTTTGGGATCTAACCCTGGAGCCCTCTGCCACACAGAGAGGTAGTGAGGGTGCTCCCAGTGGAAGCCTCAGTCCTCCTGAGCCTCCTGGCAGGTCTCTTCCCCTAACAAAGGATGGTCCATCTTCCCTCAGACCTCTCAGACCTGAAAAGGAAAACAAGAATCAAGAATTCCCCTTGGGGAGTCACCCACATTTCCATACCTTGGGGACTTCTCTATTTCTCCAGAGGGCTGACCAAAGTGGTTTGAGCAACAGGAAACAAAAAAGGAGGAGCAGTCCCACTGCAGCCAGAAACATGCAGGTGGGGTCTGTATTCCAGAATGCGGAGCCGGAGCCCAGCCATGGTGTAATATGGCTGTTCGGGAAAGAGAGAACTTTCCCCGTGATCCCAGCAGGAGGCTGCCTGAAGCAACTGAGCCCCAGTCCCAGGAGCTGCAGGATATAGCGCTGCCTGCATCACAGAGCTGGGGAGTCACGGAGGGAGGTCCTGAGGGTGGGGAGGGACCCCTGTCAGCCCTGTTCACTGTCCCTCCTCACTGGCCAGCACAGCACACCCCTCTGCTAACTCTCCTGTTCCATTTCCCGGATCCACTCTTTCCCCTGGCCTTGTGTTCAGCCCTGGGAACTATGCTCTTTACTCTCTAAGGTACTCGGATGTTCCCCACACCTCCCTTTATTCTCAGAACCGGTGATTGGGACCCTAGCAATTCCGTGCCTGGAAAGTCTGACCTACTTCCCGAAAGTTTTGCTTCTATTCAGGAACACCTATTCTGAGTCACAGGTGCCCTCAGTCCACTTATCTCAGAATGTGTTTCCTGTTTACACTGACTTTTGTGAATTTTAGAGAGTACATTCTTTTTTTCAGCCAATCTCTAATAACTCTAGAAGGATTATTCAATCAATTAAAACTAATTGCTATTTATTCGTAACACCAAAATTAGTATAAAATAAGTGTATACAAAAGTACAGTTGTCTCCTGGTAGGACATTTCTGTGCTTCCCGGTGGCACTAGGACAGAAATTTGAGCTCGATAATGTGCAGAACTCAAGAAAGGAACTTTGCCTCTCTTTCCCTCTGCAAGATCTCCCAGTTCCATGTAAGCAGCTCCTCAGACGACTGTCCCCTCAACTATGAGGACTGCACTTCCTCACCACAGACCTGTGCTTTTCTCACTGGTAATCGAGGCACATCAAGCAGGTCCATCGGGGGAATCTCCTCCCTGAGAAGGGCAACATGGAGACCATCGCTAACAAAGCTAACAAATGGAGTTATAAACTAGTTTCCCAGCATCTGAACACCCTGCCATGCACAGGATTTTTCTTCCGAGGTTAAAACAGGGTTAGTGCTAGAAGGCCTACCTGCCTTTGGTTCACTTCTACATCTCTACTTGTTTGATGTCACAAATTGTATACAAAGGGACCTCTCCTTGGCTCTGGGCCCAGCTTGGTTTTGAGCCTTTCTAGTGGCTGTGTCATGCACTAAGTCCCATAATCCCTTCTGACTCCCAGGCTTTTGGAAATCACAACACATTGTCTGGTGACCATGAAAGGACAGGAGACCACAGGCCTGCTGTCTCCTTTTTACTATGGGGCTCAGTCTCAAAAGCTGGGGAAGACCTGCTTCTGGCACCATGAATCCAAGACCTGGACTTGGAGAAGGATTCAGCACTCCTATAGCCCAGGGGCTTCCCACACCCTGCCAGCACAAGCAGAACCTAGAGTGACTCAGAACAGTGTGCTACAGAACCACTGCAAAGGAAACGGCACCCGTTCAATGGGAGGGGAGCTTTATCGCCTCCCAGTACCTAGTAATCTGACCAGAACTAAAATCAGACTGCACCAGTATTTCCAAGCAGGAGTGGCCTGCAACAAGAATTGACTCCTAGAGGTGCTGGGGATGTGGGGGTGGCCTGCCTTAGAGAGGCTTATGATCAGTTTGTCCTATCCAGACTAAGTCAGATGAAACCAACAACACCAAGTGGAATGTAGAAGTGGCCCGTGGTGAGCAGCTCTCTAGTAACTTGTGGGACAGGCTTGCGAGGAAAGCAGCTTGCAAGGGGTTGTACTGCATAGCCAGACTCAGAGGAAGTCTAGCAAAACTTACATCCCAAGAAAACAGGAGAGGAAGGCTCACAGGTGGGAGTGGCGGCAGCCAGCAGAGGGTGTTGGATTGCAGCGGTGGTTTGCACTGGGGAAGGCTTAGGAATCCAGGCCCTGGATGAAAATGACTGGGAAAGGAGAGGCGGATGAATGTGTAGGTGTGACTGGAATGAAACGTGTGACTGTGTGAACGAGCAAAGGGAAGCGTGTGAGTCTAAGGTTGCCTTGGCTCAGCTGCGGATTGAAACTAAAAGACACCTGAGCAGCCAACTGGTCTAGCTGCTGAGCTGGAACTAATGCACAGGCTGAGACTCTCAGGACCAACTCTGCCTGCAAGACTAGAGGGAGGAAGCATCTTTTCATTTCAAAGTAAACTAAAAGTGAGACAATACAAGCAGCAGCCCCAGCCTGGGGCTGAATGGTCAAAGTCCCTGGAGCCCTAGGAGGCTTTACAGGAAAAATCAAACTGCAGATTTTAACTAATTTAAATATACCTTTGATTTCCAACACGAAACAACTAATTGCAGTGTTTTAAACACTCTGTGTGCATTGCAAACTCTGGAACTGCAATTATAGAGTTAACTTGGTCTTCCCCAGCTTTTCTCTGCTCTCTGTTGGTTTAAGATAGCAACATTGATTCAAGGTTAGTCAGTCAAATTCACAAAGTAACAATCTGAGGGGGAAAACACTCTAAAATCCAAGCAACTGCAGCCAAGTTTGTTGTAGATTTATTGTAATTGTGAGAGTAAATTGGATCACATTTGAATAGAAATGAGAGGACAGATGTGAAAACACACCTCATTAGAAAGTATGCTAAAGAACTTTAAGGAAGGTTATACTGTAGAACATGGAGTAAAAGTTACCCCTCCAGAGTTTAGTACTCTATAAAATTGACCGGCAATCTTTTAGCCCGGATGGCTTGCCAAGGGGACAATAGACAGGTGGATTTTAAGGGTTTATCAAGTACATGGAGATCAGCCACCAAGACATTCAGAGTAGTTACCCTACATTGACTCAGAACCAAATGTGGTTCAAATTCAGCCTGCACGTCTTCAACCCTGTCTGGCAGCGTATTGCAAAACCCTTGTGGCTTGAGTTGTGCCCAACATAAGGGGCAGAGGGAAACCCACTCTTGCAGAAGCTACAGAGGTTAAAGCGAAACAACAGGGGACCCAAGAAAAAGCAATCCTACAGGATCCACTAGATGAGACAGGAATGCCTTTCCCTTACACTTTAATTTATCTGCCTCTACCAAGGCCCATACATGGGGAATTGGGGCCAGAAAGCAGTGAGTCTCTGGTGTTGCCCTCCCAGAAGATAAAACAGCAAGCCTCCTAGGACGAAATTGAAGTAAGTCCAATGATCAGGTGGCAGATAAAGCCAGTCATCTTGGTCACATCATACAAGAGCCCTACAGATCCCCTCTGAGAGACCAGGGAACCTATTTATTGTGATGGAGAGGGTCAAGTCCAAGGGGGACAACTGACCTTGGTTTATCAGATGTTTTCCACCAAGAACCTTCTCGAGGGAAAGCATCATACCCCTTCCTGTATGGAAATCCATAGACACTCATAGATCTAATGCAATCCACCTTCCAAACACACAACCCAAATTGTAAACATCTTCTCCTGACACCATTCAGTACTGAAGAGCGCTAGAGAGTGAGTCGGGCAGCTCTCCACTGGGTAGAGGACCAGGCACCCGCAGGAGTGGTGAATGTCCAAGCATGTGCTCAAATCCAGTTCCCTGAGACTGAACCAAATTGAGATGTAAATGTTGTAGCAGGGATGGGTAGTACAGTAAATATCAATAAGCCCACTTGGATGACTTGAATGCAGGAAGCAAGAAAGCTATGAATGCGGAAAAAGTTTCAGAGATGTTCCAAAAACCAGATGAAAGCCTGACTCGGTTCTATGAGAGACTTTGTGAGACACTTCAGCACTATACTCCATTTAACCTGGAAGCAGACAAAAATCAACACATGGTAAGTGAAGCTTTGTAGGACAAGCCAAGGAGACAAAAGGTGGAAATTTAAAAATCTAGATCACTTTGCTGGCGTGATTGCTAGTCACCTCTTAGAAGTAGCCACTAAAGTATATATTAACCATGGTGAGAAGCCAAGTGGGAGGCCAGCTGAAAGCCTAAAACAAAGTAGCTCTGCTAGCTGCAGCACTAAAGAGGCAAAAGGCAGAGGCCAGCAAGCAAAGGAGAGAGAAGACAGGGGCCCAGGAACCAACAGATGCTGGTCTGGAGTCAGTGTGTGCAGGGCAAAAAGATAGGACCTTGGGAGGATGGATGCCCAGAAAAAGACAAAAATGATAATGGAGACTGTAAAACCAGAAACCTTGTCACCAGCAGCTAATCACAGGGAGAACAGGAAACAGACATGTTTGAACTGCAGAACTTGCAGAACCTGAGAATTGTTAGACCAGCCTGGGACCCATTTCCATAAGTCCTGAGGATCCAACAATGAAAATAAGGGGCCAACTGCTGAATTTTACAGTGGACAGTGGAGCTGAGTACTCATTTATAACAGAACCCATTGAGCAACTGTCTAAGAAAAATATTACCATTCTGGGAGCCCCCAGGGTTCCAAAATGAGGCCATTTTTTCAGCCTAAAAGATGTGTTATGGAGCAGGGGGTGAGAAGTTCAAAATGAACTCCTATATCTCCCAGACTGTTCTCTTCCCTTCTTAGGGAGAGACTTGTTTCAAAAGCTACAAGTCCAAATTTAGTTATTTCTTATGTTTATTTTAATTAAGGGAAAAATTAAAAACATTAGGATATATAATAGTAACTCTTTTTGATTTCCTATTAACTTGTTTTAAAGTCCTGTAATACTCCCACGATCTTGTTTTGACTGATTAGACTCTGTTCCATTCTGTGCGATAGTATCAAGTTTGAGGGTATAGGCAACTACTTTGAAGGCAATAAGATTCACAAAGACGCCCATTCTGGTTTGACTATTGTCTCCTTTGGAAGTCCTGTAATGTTCACAATGCCTAAGTTTTATTGGTCTTGTTCTCTACTGTTTTGTCCAACTTTATAATATCTAATGAGATAGACAATTCTTTTTAAGGAAACAAGAGACAACGTTGATAACCATTGTTAATAACCTTGTACTCTGTTCTACATCATGTGCTATGTCTATCCTTGGTTTTGACTGACAGCTTTGTTTTGCCATATTTGACTTTATTCTCTCCCCCCCCCAAAAAAAGTAATAAGAACTAAGGAGTAATAAAATCCAAAATGTGTAAATTTTGTTGTAAAAAAGAGAGGGAGGGAAAAAAAAGAGCTCTAACGGATATAACAGCAAGTGTGTTTAGGGGTGTTAAATAGCTGACTATATTAATGTTTTTGGATCATTGAACACAGCTGTTTGCAGTCTCTCTGTTTGAATGTCTACTTTGTATTCTTTGATACTGTGATTTGAGCAACTATTTCCAAGATGATAATATGTAATCTATTAACAGGTGATTTCTTACTGTTATGTTTTTTTTTGTAGTTCTGTATTATGTGTAACCTTACACTGCTTTGTTTTGTTTTGTGTTTTTCTCTTTTTCCTCTTAAATAAAATTTAAAAAAAGAAAAAAGAAAAAAAAAGAGCAAATTACATTTGAACCACAAAGAAGATGTGACTCTAATCCTGGCCCACCAAAAGCTATCATGTTAACTTTTACTGTCCCACAAGGAGAAGAATGGAGATCATATTCAGACAAGTCACAAAATCCAGGATTAAGTGAGCTACTTGGGCTGGTGCATAAGATTCCTGGGGTATATGATGATGATAACTCCCCAGGGCTGGTTATAAATCAACCACCAGTGAAAGTGGAATTAAAGCCAAGGATAACTGCAATTAGAGTTTACCAGCACTCCATCCACCAGAAGGCTATCCAAGGCATTCAGGACATTTGAAATGACTCTTAAATAATAGAGTCTCAGCTAGACCTCAGTTCTCCTGGAACATCCCACTTTTGCTTGTGCACAACCCTGGGACCAAAGAATATAGGCCAGTAGATGATTTGTGAGTCATATATCAGGCTATGGAGGCTATTCTCCCACAGTCCCCAAATCCATACATGCTGAGGGGACTCATTCCAGCAAGTGCTGTTTGGTTTACCTACTTAGACTTGAAGGATGTTCC